GCTATTTGGTGATTTTATTAGAGGTAGGAACAACTTGTGACAATGTTTCAATTGTTTTATTTGAAGAAAGTTACGAAAGCCTCAACAACAACCAAATAATAGGGTGGTCTTCTCACCGTGGTATAAGACACTATCGATGGCTGAGAGGGCCTATCAATTATCTTTCAAGAAAGCAAAGATTAGAGTATGTAACAAATACAATTTGCTACATCTTGGACTTCCTCAATCTATGAAAACTACTCCTGATAGAACTTATCCCTAGAAGGAGGGTTAATGTCATGGACATATATATTTACCTCAATAATTACTTATATAATTAGGTAGAAATAGATAAATATAGATTAATTTCATAAAGTCTTTTGATGAAGCTTCTTAGAAGCTTCATAGGCATAGTTTTGATTTTAGATGTATTTGTAGGTTGAAAACTTGGCCAACAAGTTAACCTCGTGTTGGTAGCTTGTAGAATAAGTTAACTCCACATAATAGCTTGTAGAACAAGATAACCATGTGGAGCATACATAAATAGCTTGCCTTGCAAGTTAAGACATGTGGCTAGCAAAGTCAATATGTCTTGAAGGTCGTATAGGACATCACCACATAGCTCCTAGTTAAGAGTTTATATGGAGGCAAGAGTGAAGCCTTCTTTACTCTTGTCAATGCCATTCTAGTCTTTAGTCTTGTTTCAAGAATTTTTATTCTTCTTGTTTTTAGCAATAGCCATTCTAATTACTATTACATTACCTTTGGAGTGACTTTTTAGTTCTCTTCAGTGACACAAGAGTGTATCAAGGATTCTCTTATTTTGAGATTCATATTCCTAATAATAATAGAGAGAAGTATTTTTTTAAATAATATGATAGAAGATTTAACCTCATAATTCAAAATTGACTATAAAAAAACTATTCCTTATCACTTTTAATCTAGCGGACATATAAAAAGAATAAATCAAACCTTAGTCAATATCTTTAGTAAACTTATAACAACATCTAAAGAGATTGGAACACCAAGCTTCATATAGCCTTGTGGATTTATTAAACTACATTGAAGATGACCACCTAAGTTACATCTTTTTCCTTGGTTTATGGCATAAAAGCCATTTTGCCAATTCAGTTTGAAATTTCATTCTTTCAAATTGCATAAACAAAAAGATTATTGATCAAGCAATCTTTAAAGGATAAATTGAAATATTTAGAAGGTCTAAATGAGGTCAAAAGAAGAAGTGCATAGCATACAAAGGCTATACAATAACAAGAAAAAATTACATTTGACAAATGGGACAAGGTTAGAATTCTTAAGCATGGCATATTGATCTTCTTGCTCTAGTCCTTGTAGTCTAATAAGGCTCTAGTTTGTTTCAGGGACTGTTGAGCATTCAAATTCTCTTTCAAGTTTTAGTATTGATATTGTGTTGTATGAATTGACATGTCTTATTTCAAATAGCAGTTGATTTCTCTTTCACTTGTGCTACGATTGATTGTATTTTGCTCTGGTGAAAATAAATAAGAGAAGATGACAATAGATTTGGTGGCAATGCGAGGTAGATGAATTTATGATAAGGAGACAGTAGGACCTTCTTTAGATTTTTTTGTTTGTTTGTATGTTGTTGATCATAATCTTAATGTAAAAGAAGATGATAGTTTTGCCATGCCAGTCATGGCAAGACTTTGTTACAATATTCAAGTAATTGTAGCTTTAATTCTTGTTTTTGAAAACAAAAAGATATTATTATAATATCTATAATTTAGATGCATTCCAATTTAGTGCTTACTAGTAGTATCTAGTTATTGCAATCGTAGAGCTATGATAATTTTAAGTGCTATCACACTAAAGCATGCTCAAAGGGAGTAATTGTAGAAAATTTCAATATTGAGAAGACTTTGAACCCTTTTTTCCATTGGTGGATTCATAGTTGTCATTGTTTTGCTGAATTTGAGTTAGAATTCACCTAATAAGAACTTAGGTTAATTAGGACAATCAAATTGAACTTAAAAGTGCAATGTGGATCTCCCCTCCCTACACAACATTAGCACAAGACAATATCAATACAAGAAAGGAGTAAGCCATATAACAAATAGACTTTTGACCTCTACAACTTTCCACTAGAATAAGTGAATACTTAATAGGTTTTCCATTCAACATTGAACCAATGTTTAGTGATTCTCCAATGTGTCGATTTTTTTGTGACATATCCAAAGTGACAGCCTTGATGTGAAATTTGGAATTAAGTCGAATTATTAGTAGATGAGTTAGATTAGAATGAATTAATTTCTTTATCTATTTGTTTAGCTATGGATTCAACACCATACAATTAGAGAGATCCTCAAGGGAAGGCTGGATTATTTAAAGGACCCAAAAAAATAGCTTCAGTAATTGAAGACATTGACAAGTAGCAAGAAGAGATGAATTTTAAAATGAGATCCTTTAAAGCTAATGGAAGTTCTAAGATAAGTTGGCACAACTAATCAAAGCCATGCATGAGCAAATGATTCTTTTGATTAAGTTTCAAAATTTAAACCAAGTCCCACCTCCTATAGAATATAATTGATATACTTTAGGACTATGATATACTCAATGTTGTCAATCAAAGTATACTAGCGAATTTTGTCCAATCCATCAAAACTACCAATAAAATCCTAGGCAACAACAATCTTATATCTCCTTCTATAAAAATCAAGATAATTTAGAGCCTAATATTCAATTCTAAAATTAAAAAAATCCTAATTATAATTTTAGGACCCAATTACAAAAATGACAAGAAATATATCACCATTGTTGAAAAAGACACCTATCAGGTAGCTGTTGGATTGAAAATAGAATAGTATGTAGAAATTATAGAAGAAACCATCCAACATATGTATGTAAGCAACTATACAAAGTAGTTTCTTTAAATTTCTTATGAAGGAATTATCAACAACAAGTCCAAGACCATTTGAAAGGGACAAGAAATCTTAGTTTAGACAATAATCTAAAATCTCCTAATCTATTTTATAAATATAATAATAATCATCAAATCCAACACCTTTTATAAGATTTAAATATCAAAAAGGAATACATTCCTATAAATGTTGATCAGTCTCAATATTGCTTCTCTCCAATATGGCATAATAAATCAAGCCTCATAGAACATATTTAGGTTGCATTAAGCAAGGTACAATTCTTCTATTTTGCAATGTTATTTTATCAAAGTGTATAAGCAGTTGTAAGTTATCATTAAATACTATGAGTAATATAGTATTAATCAAATTTGAATGAAAGATATTTGCTTCTTTGATTAGAATGAAATATTTTTAATTTATATTGAGTTTGAGTTTTAATCTAAGTATGAAAGAGTTTAAACATAATAAAATATTTATTCTTTCTTTAAAAAAAACAAGGAATTATATACCAAGAGAAGTCATCTATAAAAGTAATATAATATTTAAATCCAAAAAAATAGGACAAGAAATTCTTCTAATAAGATTTGAGTAAACAAGTTCAATTTGATAAAAAGCATAGAAGGTGGCCATTTTAAAAAACTTTGTTGCACTTTGTTTGCCATGGAAACAGGTGAAACATGTATGTGGTGGAAAATATTGAAATAGAAGGCCTAAAATTGTACTAGGTATGAACTAAAATAAACTCCTACTAGTTGGAAGTCTAATTCAATTCTCAATAATTTTGATTGTCTAAGTTTTTTAACAAATTCCTACTAGCATTTACTTTATGTCCAACAATTCTAATAACATTCCAATTTTGATTTAAATAAATCCCTCTTATAGACGATTTATTCTAATTCTTACCTATTAATTAACTTATAATTTAATTACTTAAGTTACCTCTTTTTTTTTAATTTTTTAATTTTCTAATTAGTAAAAATCTATATCTATAACCACAACAATCACATAAGCTATCTAAACAACAATAAAAAAACCACACTTAGAAGATTATTTTTATTTTTATTTTTATTATCTAATATTAAAAAATTATCCAAGATTAGAATTCATCCAAGAAAATTTGTCATCCATAAATGAGAATTTATCCACTTCTAATCAATATTCATCTACAAAGTTTCATCCATCCAAATCCTAATTCATCTATACATGATCTAAGTAAATCCAATTCTTTTAATGGTTTTGCCAATCACAATGATTGCCTCACGTCGATTACTAGATGGAGTTTGAATAACAATTGGCTTTACTAGAGAATGCTAGATTCAATCGGAATTTGTAATTCAAAACGTGAGAGGTACAATTTTCTTTTTGGAGTACTTCGAACTCCTCTCTGATTGCCTGCTGAACCCCCTTGCTGTCAAACTTTGATGACGAAGGCCCTAGGAGGATGCCTAAGCATCACCGTGGACTTTTGTGACGGTGCTGAAGTAATAGTGGCTGAATTGGTGGCTCGATTCCTTACTCCTGCCTACCTAATTTTGATTCCAATCTTCACTAAGAACCCTAATTTTAATGGCTCCTATAAGTTATGGTAGCTAACTTTCCTATGAGTTGATGTGGTTCTTCAATAATCCAACTCAAATGGTCCTTCGCAAGAATTTTTCCAATTCTGAATCCTCATCAAGGCTGCCGAACACAAGAAAATGCATTGCAAAGGAGCTTGCATGGATCAATTGCTCAATTATGCAAAGGTGCTAACACAACAAGACGACCAACAATCTAAGGATCAGAAGCTGCAATGCAGAAGGGAATTACGACACCATTGCTCCAACCAACAAGGGAGAAATCAATCGCCGACCGTCGAAGGCAGCAATAGCTATCGTATATCTTATTGCAAGGCCGCACTCATAGCAAAAAAAACCAGCAAGGGAATAACCAATCGTAACCAAACATTTGACATTGTTACTAACGACGCCGCTTCACGATCCGATAGTGGTGATGTGGAAAAAAACAACATGGATAATACAACGGTAGAGCAAGCAAGCTTAATGATAAAACCACATACGAAAGGAAAATTTTGTCGAACCAAGGAATGTTGCTTCAACTTCCACCACAATCCTGCCAGCAAAGGAGAAACAACAATGCTGTGATCGACCAACTCTCAATTATTCTATGGCAGGAACAGAGCGGGGTAATAACTTGAAGGAAAGAGCCCCAAGGAAGTAGCAATAGCGAATGCCGCTCTAGAACTTGATTCCATCAAAAATTGGCAATGGATCGAGAAAACACAAAGAGAAAAAATCCAGACTACCACGTCATACACTAAACCAGCATCGCTACTCAAATGCGAGTAGCTCCACGACTGCAATGGCTCTAGCTGCACTGCCTAGGGATTGCGGAGCTCTGCAAGACCACCGAGGAGAAGAAAATTAAATCGGGAGAAGCCATTGACAAGGCCACCGCAGCTCGCTCCGCCGCCAACGATCACTGCCAACAATCAACTTAGTAAGCGAAGAAGATTGCGGCTCCAGCCTTGTATACACTTGCTGCAAGAATCCGATGAAGACAAAATAAACCGCATACCAGAACTTGAGCATACCAGAACATAAGAGGTTCATCCACTACACACGTCACTGTGCCAAACTTGGCAAGAGACACCACTGCTCGTCCGCTCCAGCAGCCACCTTCAACCGAATAACGAGTACAACCTACCGTGTTCTCTACCGCAGCCCACTGCAGCTACAATACGGATAAAAATAGAACAAAAGAGAAACTGCTTAGCCGCAACCCACACTTGTCGGGGCTCTGCCATACACCGGAACACAAAAAGAAAATTAGGAGAGGGATCCAATTGAGGGGCCATCTGTTACCCGGCCACCAATACATGACCGCCATCCGATACAGAACCACCCGTACTCGATACAATACATCAATCATACTTCGCCGTATTTCAACAATATTTATACGTAGTTGCTTCTATACCTTGTGCTCTACCACATATTCTATTATATATTCTATTGTGTACCATATTGTACTCTGTGTTTTATATTCTGTATACTATATCCAGTACTGCAACAATACCATATTAATACTGTAATATGCTATATTCGTATCCATATCCATACAAAATCCACCACCGTATCTAGGCTATATACATCCAAAGTGGATTGTATTTGGATCGTCTTTGATTCATATATGGACCTTCTCTATACCTTATAACATTAGAATTTTGAATATTCTTGATCTTTTTTAGATGTTTCTAAAATATTAAAAAATACCTATTTGATGCTTGTAAGATGCTTCTACATGTAAATTTCTATTAGATCTTCTATATTAGCAATATTTTTTCTACTAATACAACTTTTCTTATACTTAGCATCTTTTCTCCTAATCTTTTTTAATAATTGTACTTGACATTCTAATTGTATTGTTTTTATTCTAATACAATTTGTGAGGTGATTTGGTGACTTATACCAAATCAAACAATATTATGAAGGTAATTGGCACATATATGATCTAATCTGCAATGCCACAATTGTCTAGAAATCCTAAAGTAAGCTTGAACTGAATTTTCCAATATAGGATGTATGAGAATGTTGGAAGCCACGAGATTATTTTTTTTGAGTTGAAGATCCAAAGTCAAAGATACACTTAAAAAGACAACATTTGAAATAGAAGGTGTACCTTGGGAGTTTGGTACATTTTTGGGTGATATCTGAATCGGCTAGAGTAGAGTTGACTTGGACTAGTAGAATGGATTATTGGCTGCTTCTAAAAATGCTGCAGCATGTTGTTGTAGGATTAACAATGACCATTCATAGAGGATGTTGACAACAACTAATGTCATTGGAGCATTGATGTATAGAATTAGGCTTAGGAAGCATGCAATGTCCCCTATTAGAATTGACAAGAGTTGAATAGCAGGGACATAATAATGAGCCTAATTCAGAATTGGAACAAGTATAGGCTGAACAAGGATGTAGATACTTTTGGCTATTGGAAGCTTTTGGATCAAAAGACCAGACCAATTCAAGAACACAATAGAAAGTAGTGTTCAGCCAAACTAATCCAATGGAGCTTGCATGATTGATGGCTAGAGGTGGAATGATTATAATGAGATGCTTTTTATTTTTTACAAATAAATTAGCTAAAGCTGAATATGTAAGTAAAATAGTAGTACCATGTAAATATAGATTATCAATGAGTGGACATTGTGACATGGTTATATTATCTATGTCAAGAATGTAACATTGGTAAATTTTAATGAGTATGCCACCTCCAATATCATCATGTTCTTGCATTAAAAATATTTTTTTTACAAATTTGATAGATATAATATACTAGTATGACAAATAGTGTGGCCATTAATCATGCATACGTTGACTTTTCTTTTTCCATATATAAAAAATATTATATTATTACCAATATACACTTTATTTTTATCAAATGATAAAGCTTAAAAATTAATGAATTATATTTTGTCATGATTTTTATTTTGAATATTTGTGGTCTTTTGAAGGTTGATTTGATGATAATCAAGGTTGCTACTTATTTTTAATCTTACACCTAACAAAGAAGACTTGAGTGTTGAAAGAAAAGCTCTTCATTGTAGTTTCTTTGTAAAAAAGAATCACAATTAAAGTTGGGAGTATTCTCTATTTATCAACCTTCATTTTTTGTATTATATATTTTTCTTATAAGTAAGCTTGTGTACAAACTTTACTAGTAAAATATGTATTTTTTAATACAAGCTATATTATATTAGATATTTTTAATGTGCCAATATAAAAAAATATGGAGTTATTAACACAATCTTAAATGGCTGCAAGTGTAGCATGATTCTTTTTTTTCCATGCTTAAATTTCTAATTGATTTGATGGTATTACTATATTTGCTTCTTAGATAGGTATTGGTACTCTTTTGTTTTTAAAAACCAACTTTTATATTTTTTCTATTTTGAACTTCATTTATATCTTTTGCTTCCATTGATATACCAAGTGTCATTGAATTTTGGCCATTGTTTGGTGGTGAGGCTATTAGAAGCCATAATCTTAAGAGAGGATATATTAGTGCTCTAATTTTTGTACAAAATATCTTAAGTGCAATCCTTTTTCTTATGAGCTTTCTTATATTTTTAGTTATCTATTTTTATTAAACTTGTATTCAATTTTGTTGCTCTAATACCATATAAGAATTATAAGAGTGGTAAAATTTCTTTGTTTATAATTTTTTATTAAAAATAATCCTTAAAGGTTACAAATTATATCCTTTGAGAAAGTTGACTTGGTTGTGACTCCTAAAAAAGATGTAATGGAATATGATTCAATTCTATTATAGTTTACAAATAATGATTAAGTAACTCTATTCATTGCAATAACTCATCGCTGATTACAAGAACATCTACATTAGATCTTCTACTTCATTGACCAATGCCACATCTAAGAGAATCTTTATTAGGATCTTATTTTCTATCATTGTACTATATCAACTTCAGATCCAACTCGGAGGTCATGCCCCAAATCAGCAAACATGTTCAATCTCCCACAGCTCTTGAATCCAAATGGCCACCACTTATGCCTTAAAAGATTCACCACCATCAGTTTCTTCATTTGTTCTTCAATATTTTATAAACCAAAAAATTATAATTAATAAAAGTATGATATTTAAATACTTTAATTAAGACAATTTTATGAAATTAGTTAAGATAAAATTCTACTCAAGAACATTGAGTGACAACAACCACATTAATATATTAGAGTACATGTTCTTAGATTGAAATATAAACAATAAAACAATTGTAATATGCAAAATTATTATGAAAGTAGAAACAATAAATAAAAAATTTCACATATAGAGATACACTTCAATTGGACACAAAGACACATTTACCTCCAATGTTGTGTGTAATAGAAAAATTAGTTCATTAACCATAATTGTAACAATAACCATTTAAAGCAATGGTAAGAATTCATCTAGTGAGGAATTGAGATGTTCCAGTCTTATCACCCTTACTAGATCAATCATGTATAATTATAATGTTTATGGTACATTAACTTAAATTATTCTTTATAAATTTATTTTATGATTCTAATAAGATATCATAGTATAATTTTGTGAATTAGTTTTTGATATAAAAAATTCTAAAAAAATATTAAATAATCACAAGAAAAAAAAAACTTTGAAGAAGAAATTTGTCATAGAAATTGGAGCACCAATAATCTTATCTTTTCTTCAAAATAACTAAAAATAGTCTTTTAACTAAAACATTACCAAAATTTGATAGCTCTTCGTATACAATTTGAAAAAAGAAAATTCAAATGAAATTCAAAATTGAAGAATTATGGAAGTTAGTATCTAGCAAAGACAAAGAGTCAACACCAATGCTAGAAGAAAATATGAAAATGTTGACATCACCAAATAATTAAGTTATAATTACCACGTGGAAAAACCAAAATCATGGTACATTAAATGTCATATAGAATTTTATAGATAATTCGATAATTTTTCATGTTAGAGCATGCAAAATGGCTAATAAATCTTGGCTTGCACTTAAAAATATCTATTCTTCAAGTGACATTATTACCTTTGAGTTATAATAAATCTCAACTAGTTGAAAGTTTATTTTAGTTCACTACTAATGAATTAATTGTAGAAATCCTAAAAGAAATTAGTTTTTATTTAAATTGTGAGTAATTCACCCTTAATCTCCTTAATTTTCCCAAGTATAAGACAAATAACCTCCATTACTTGAATAATTTTTTAAATTTATAATAAATAAATTAATTATATAATTTTCATAAGTTATAACTTCTATTTAATTTCTAATTAAATCAATATATATTCTTCTTAAATCACTCAATTAATCAATCAACTTCTACCATTAAATCATACCTATTATGATAAGTCATTCATAAGAAGCATGCCCAAAATTTTCTTTTCATAATGATATTTTTTAATTTAATTTATTTTTATTTTTTATTTTTTTGAATTAATATTCATTCATCAATATGAACTCATCATTGAATGAATATTCATCTAAATATAATAATTCATCCAAGTATAAAAATTAATCTAAATAATTTTTATTCAATTTTAAAAAATTCATTCAAATTCAATTATTTCTAATTAATTTTTAATTAAATCACTCTATACTCTTCTTAAATTACTCAATTAATCAATCAAATTCTACCATTAGAGTCAAATAACTTTGTATAGTTCTCCTTCTCTTTTATGCAATAGCCACATCTGATTATTGGAACTTGGTATATTGCTACGTTTTAGTTTATTACCATTTTGATGAATGTCAAAGGGATCTTCCAAATTGATAGTGTTGTTGTCAATGAGGTTGGTGTTTTTAGGTCGTCTTTCTTCATTGATCACAAGCTTGAATATCCAAGTTGAAGTTGTGATGTCTTGTTTAAATTCATTTATTTTTAATTGACTTTTTATTTTATTTTATTTTTAATCTTTGTAAATAATAGTATTGCTTATATTGATGTATGCAATATTATTCTTTGCTATGTTAGTAGGTTCTTTCCTTCTTGATTTGGACTAGTAGACACTTGCAATCAACTCTAAGAGGATCTTAGAATTGTTATTGGTTGGTATTTAATTAATAAGTCAAAATGGACAACGCCATGTCTACATTGTTAGAAAATGGGATATTGGAGATTAATTTTTATAAAAACCAATAAGTATAAGCCATCAACCAACACAGCAATAACAACTCATGAAAATCAAAAATAAAAATAAAAATAAAAAACATCAAAAAAATACATCCATTCTTTTATGCTTATATTTATCTTATA